CCCAGATGGAGCTCTAATCTAGACCCTTTTCCCTGTGGTCTACACGGCCGTACAGTGTGTTAAGCCTTTCGGGTCGTCCTCACAAGTAGGCTACTGATTCTAATAGGAGTATACGGCTACGCTGGGAGTACCTATTTATAAATTAAAACGATATAAGCTAACATAATATCGAAATATAATTGAAATGCATAATCCATGAATGTAGACATTTACTACTATTGATAATAAAGGCTTTATTCCTATAAATATCATCATAAAAAAACAATTATTACCTGTATTTGTAATGCCTTATGTATTATAAATGTATATTAACTCAAAAAATTTGAATCTTTAAATGTTTATATCTAATAATAAATAATAAAAATTTGTATATATATATATATATATATAATATTGATGATACGCCCGTATGTACGGATACGAAAACCAAAAATTATACAGAAAAATAGTGTTTTTGGTGATTGTTGAGCGGGGTGGTGTGAATGCATTATGACAGTCTAGTCTCAAGGTCATAGACGACCGGATACGCGAGATAATAACACGTGACGCGTGGAGAGTTACACACAACACACATACATGCGAAACTAATATAAGCGTGTTAAAAAACAAAAATGTTGTAGTTTTCAACATGGAACAATTGCCAAAAGAAACTAATGATATTTCCAAGGATTTAGCAAATAATTTAATTTCACATTTTATCCGAAATTTAAATATAATTCTAGCCAAACGTATAGGCAAAGCACAATCTAGTAAACGACCACTTCTTATTCAGTTATAAAATGAATCCAATGTCTTTACATTGTTAAAAAATAAAGTTATATTTCAAAACACTAGTAAATGGAAAAAATGTATGGATTAATGCCGACTTAACTTTACTTCAACGTTCACAAATGAAAAGTTTCAGAGAAGAGTTACTCCAGCGACGTCTTAAAAGTGAATATAATATCGTTATATAGTTAATATAGTATCTGCTGCGGGAAAAGCATGTGGTTGAGTCGACGATCCGGCATAGCGTGGGGACTTTGTCTGCCTGAGACTCGCATTCCGTCGCGAGCGTCTCGTAATGAAGCGGCGGGCGTTTGGGCAGAATCGCGTTCGTTGGGTCTAGCCCCTAACCGCGTAAACTATTGTCCAAGACTGCCAGCATATCGCTTTTTGTCGTGGGGCCGTTTAACTGCCTAAAAGCGCATTCGCGCAATAATTCCCGACAGTTCATTTGAGAAAGAGTTTTGCCGGTCATAGTGAACGTTCCTTACCGTATTTTGCGTAAACAAAAATAAATAAATGAATCGCGCGCGCTTATTAACTTCGATGCGAAGCTGAGAAGGTATTAATTTTACTATGATGTGTTTTTTTTTTTTTATGTCTGTTGTCACTTTTTCTCAGCTCTCACTGGACCGATTTCTTTCAAAAGTACGTCAAAAGATCACAAATCGTATCTAATTGGAGACATTACTCTTAAAGATTGAAAAAAATTCCCTCGTTCCCCGAAAATGGGGGAAATATCAAAAAAAATTACAAATTTAAAAATCGGTAAATTTTGTCATTTTTTTCACTTTTTTTGCTTAAAACTTCCATAACTTTTTCAAAAATCAACATAATTTTTTTTTATACTAAAATCTTAGATATTTACCTTTCATTTGATATCATTTTTTTGAAAATCTATCACTTAACCTGCTCATTGGGGGGGATTTAAAATAGCAACTTTTTTACAAAAATTAACTTTTTCAACTTAATTTTTGAACATGTTCCGGAAATACTGCGTCCTTCAAACATATATCAAATTAATGCTTATTTTATGTACTATAAAATAAAATAAAAAAATTTGTCCCGACGACCTATCTTCTATGCGCAAATGGCTACCGTATTCAAAAATATGCTATTTTAACAAATTTTTTTTTTTTAAATTAAACACTATCTACAGATTTGCATCGAAGCGTTCCTCATGATAGTGATTTTAATCACTGTCAGATATCATCTATACTGGACCCAACTATGCCACGACCCCACTGTGCTACCGTTTTTTTTTGTTTTTGTTATTTAAAAATACGATATTGTCGATCGCGAGAATACGCACTATGTGTCCGCGTATGAACGTCAACAATGCCGGCCGGTTGTATTATTATTGTTGTTGTTGTTGTGCTACTGTTGTAGTATGGCACTACGATACTAAATAGTATACGGGGAAGAAATTATTACGATAGGAGTCGTATGATCTTTATGATTGTAAAGGTCGGAAATAATAATACAAACAGTTTTATGGGACCCGGTTGTTCGATGTAACGATCGCTGTGGTGTGATAACGTGTGTATGATCACCTAGCGGTTTTATCGAAACAGTTAAATGGTTGAGATCGCGGCGTCGTGCGACTCAAGGTTGTCAGTGCGCGTGTATGAATAAATACGTAATCGCCAGAAATCCACTTTTACCGTGTTTAAAAATACACCGAATAAAAATACAGTGTATTATTAACTGCTGTTATGACTGCTGTCACCAGTGAAATAGACGTTAAAAATATCCGTAGTGCGGGAAGGTGAGGAAAATTTCGCTGTCTCTTTTAAAAAAAATTCAAAATTTATGTAATTAATATAAAATGTCAGCAGTATTTTCTTACCTTTTAAAAAGTTATTCCGGTTAAGATACAATGCCGGGGAGCCAGTTGCTGCGGGAAAAGTAGATGATGAATAAAATAAGTAATACTGGTTGGTTTTCCAAGTGGCGTCGAGCCATTTAATGATAAAAACAAGAATTGTAACACAAAAGATTATATGCGAACCAAAAGTAACAATTAGTTAATTCTTAGTTACTACTAAGAATCCGTCGACAGAATAACAAAAAGATGACCGAAATTGCGGTGGCGATTTGGTTGGGTTCACGGACGGCGCAACCAATGAGATAGGTGTCACGAAGGTGACTGACTGGACGCATTATTGCGGCGGGGTATTCGACGCTAAGCATTTGTTGGACTTTACTCCACGGCGATAACGCGTGTGTGTAACGGTCCGGTTTACAGTGAAGCGGTTGGCTGAGAAGGAGCTGACACGACCGCGGGGTGTCAAACGGTTGACAACACCGTGGCCGTGTCATATCGAAGTGGTATTACGATGTGTCCCGTCGCTGGCGCCTTGAAAGGATGCGCCACAATAATCACCAAGACAAAATTTAAACATTGTAAATATACTCGTCAGTTTCTCTGCGCTGTCTGCTGGCGCGATGTTTGTTAAAACAAAGACATTAGCGACGAGACTAGCTACCCAATGAGAAAAGCTCAGAATACATTTTTACTATTAAATAAAAATGTAAAGTTAGGTTGGATTCCTTATTAAAATAAAATAATTAAAAAATATATTTAATGTTTAAAATATTATTTGATATTTATTTCATATAAGAAAAATAAAATATTATTCAATGAATTATTTAAAGAAAAATATTCCAAGTCCAAAGTAATTAGAAAAACAACCAAGTCCCAGAGAGTGAAATCTTGAATAGAGTGTCGTAGATTTTGTGTATTTTAAAATCGCCGAAAAGAACTGGTTTAGACGGGGGGATATGGCTTTTTATAGTCCGAAGGGGGTAGCTCAGCGATCCCTACCGTGATCCTGGAAGCTGAGGCTTTCTATTCTAATTGGCTAATTATAATTAGCCTGCGTGTAGGCGTTACTTAATAATCTCTACAATAAATAGATTTTATCCCATACTTAACTGGTTATTTTGTATTTTAAATAAGAGAACGCTGTTTTAGTGACCTTGTATAATCATAATATGTGACATACATGTACTGTTCCGTCGTGATTCTGTGTTGAGAGCCAGGCACCGGTTTCGGTGGCGCTGTTATCAACACCGACAACAGAGTGCGTGTCTGTACCTATGGACCAATTGCATTTTGCAATACCATCGGCGCGGGCTGATGTATGAATGTGTTTTTTTTTGTTGGTTATTTGTTGTTACTTGGTTTGGTCAGTAACCGATATAGAATAATATACACAAACGCCATTTTTTTACCATCCACGGAACATATCTAGATGCAAGGCAAGGCGGCTACAGTTTGGTTCTTTTTTATATTTTTAATGTAAAATTATAATAAAAGAATTAACATACAGTCCAAAAAATTGGGTTTTATTTTATTTCCCATTTCATCTTAGAATTAAATCAAGTAGTTTTAATAGTTGAATCAAAACGTATACAAATGATAACATCATATTATGTGTTAATATTATTAGTACTAATATAATATTACAAGTACAACCGCTGTCGTTGTAGTATAATAGTCAGCACTTGTACTAAATATCACATGTTATGTATAATATACATTGTATATAGATAAAGCAAAAGTCATATAAAGACTGCTCCCATTTAGGGTGTTAAAAATAACCATTTATTGACAAATATTTCAAACCAATCCCTTAGAACTCATCAGTAATACTCATGTTGGGTTTCTATCACAAATTATTTAACAGCATCTCAGAAATTTTACTAGAGATCGCTGGTTTACTTTCTCTATAAAAAGACCATTTTTACTAAAGGTATGAGCCTCTTTGTAAATATTCTCGTACATGAAATCTGCATCAGTATAAGTAAATATTTATTATTTATGCAATTAATTGTTCGTTGATAGACATAGTACTATTATTCGTAAGCGAGACTTTTCGTTTAAGTTTATTAAGCGCTCTATTTAAACAGATTGTTCAATACTGTTCTTTTAGTTGCACATTGATGAAATATACGAAGTAAAAATAAGTATAGTACCTGATTTAATGTAAAGTAGATTTGTTTTATGTGCAAATGGAGTTATAAATACGTGAACGATAATAAAAGTAAACTACATGTGTTACTCTGATAGGAGTCAAACACCAAATGTTTACTACATATCATTGTAGAGTTTTTTTAACCAAAAAATTTTTCTCTTTATGAAAATTTAAAAATTTCAATAATTTTTGAGAAAATAAGTACCCTACCAAATTTTAATCATCCTGAAAATGTATAAAAAATATTCATTATGTTATGGAATTTAAATATATTTTTATTGTGTTTTAAATTTTGTACATTATATTCAGACAATAGAAGATTACAATGTAATACACTAGTCATGATTATATTCTAGAAATACCGATTTGACTTGATCGTGGTTCAAACTTTTTTTCTTTGAGTCTAATTTCTCAACTTTACCAGGTGGAAAAGTAGCATAAATTGGATACTTAGTTCTGGGTGCCTGTGTTATATCATAGACTACGTCCCTAACGTATCTCATTGCACAATATTTAACTACCTTTCTACAATAATCTTTTGTGCCATACACCTTATCAATTTCTTTATTATCACATTTACTACAAATATGATTTATTAAATTTGACCCTAATTCTTCCTTATAATGTGACAAATCGCCTTCGTGGTTATCTACAATTTTTGCTTTAACTTCATATAAAATACCGTCAAGTTTTTTATCAAAAAAATATGGGCCATTGCAATCTGTAAAACAAGATATATTATCAATTAAAAAACATTTAATTTGAAAAATAAAGTAAACGAAGTAATTGAATTTGTAATAACACAAAATGGTTATAATGTACTTTAAATACGTCGAGATTAAATTGTATGCAACAGCACTTAAATTGATGTTTTGGAAATATATGTTTAACTATGTTTTTATAGTGAAAATATTTTCACTTAATTCTTACTTTGGTCGCCACAAATAATAGATTTTTGATTTTTCAAACAGTTAATTATGTTTAAATAAGGTATCGAAAGCAGATTTTTCTTCTTGGCATAAGAGTATGACATAATCTGAAAAAACATTTTATTTGGTTGATTATGAAACACATTTATGATTTATGTATCTCAATTATATTTACTTACGCAAGAAAATAATAAGAAGCATAACATTACATTTTTTAAAACTTTCATGTTGATTGTTTAAAGTTAAGACAAATAATATACAGCTATTTTACTGATTGATATTTTTTTTCAATAACTGTCTTTTCGTTAATCTAATTTGAATAGTTTTAATACTTTTATTTCATTATTTTGCGTATTAGTTTTAAAATATTAGAGCTGTCATGTTTTAGGTTATTGTAAAACATGTGTAAAACATCAATAACATAAATTATAGAAAATATGTTTGCTTTATTATACAATTAAGCGCAAATGACTATTTTAAAAGCATTACAGGTATTTAATAAATTGACAGCGGGAAACCAAATATATATGTATATAATAAATTATTTAACATATTGTACTTGTTAAAAAATATTGTGAAGTTAATTCTTTTGATATAAATCAATTCAGTAATGTATAAGTATGTCTGGTGTATTAAAGAGAATTGATGTTATTGTAAGCATGACTGAATCTGTACAAACAAACTGATTTTAAAATTATTTATTAAATTTTTTTTCCAATAAAAAGCTAAATAATCTATCATTAAATATACAACAATAAAATTGAATTCATAATAATTTTAATCTACCAGTCGTTAGAAACCTTTGTTACTTTAAAGGTATTTTCAATAGTTAGTAATATTAATTTATATTAATAGAAATGTTTTTCTCATTTTTTTTTTTATAAAAAAGAGTCATTTGCCTATGTTAAAACTGATTATGATAGTGAATTTTGATTCGAACCCTTTTATAGTTAAAAATGCAAAAATTTAGTTATATTAAATTTAATTGTACAATAATTTTATAATATATTTAAACATTAAACAAAAAAAAAAAATTCTAATCCGATTTTTTTTTCTAGCAAAAACATTTTTTTACCGACTACAAAAACACTACAGTATGTTATGATGTATACAGTATATCATTAGTGTTATAATGTACTATTTAAGACTTTAATTAAATAAATAACATGACATGACATGTATACCAATATAAAAATAAGCTATACAGAGTGATTTTTTTATCATAATCCACTCAATTACTTAGAGAATAAATATATTTTAATCTTTAGTAATACTTTTTAAGTTCATGCCTCATGCCTTTTAAGGGTGTCGATATTCACCTGCGAATATCGATGTCATAAAAAACTAATTAGCTACCTATATTTGTAATCCCTTGTATATTATACATGTATATTAACTCAAAAATTTGAAACTTTAAATGTTTATATCTTATAAACAAATAAAGTTATATTAAAAACTCAAATGATCGCACGGCAAGTTTTAAAAACTCAAACATTTTATTAAATTCAAAATGTGTTCCCATTTAAAAAAACAAAGTTGATACCCTTACAAAACATCAATTTTCATAAATAAATACCTTCGAAAAAAAAATGTATGACTTAAAATATTCATCAAAATTGAAATGGGTCATATTGACCCCCACGCGACTTGTAACGTTATAATTTTTTTTTGGACTTGTATTTTTTTCAAAATATCGTTTTATTGTAAATGCAATGTTATAATCGATATAATATTGTGGAATTGGAATTATGTGGATCTGCCACCGACTGTACAATTAAGTTTTAAAAATAAATAATCTATTGAGAATTTACACTACTCGATGATGCGGAACAAATAAGAACAAAACATGTAATAAATACATCGCGTCGCAATGTGGACACATTAATTATCGGTAATCGATGTGCTACTACGAACGAATAATTGTATATACTCGTATCATAATAATTAAATGTATTGTAATATTAATAATAAAAAAATTCAATTCATAAAAATGATTATATAAATGTAAATACACATAAAACTAATATATATAAGCCGTGTTTGAGCTCAAAGAAATACAAGAAAAATTAATTAAAATACATTTTGTAATAGTAAAAGCTATTGTTTACCGTCTTAAAAATACAATTTTGCAGTTAAAATAATTTTTTTACAAATCAAAATTTTTTAATGAAATTTTGAAAATTAAGTTTTTTTTTTCGTAATATAATTTTTAGTAATGCACATAATTTTGTAATTTATTTATTTTTTAATTTTTATCCATATTTATATATCATATGGTAACAAATAATGTTTTTGAATTAAAAAAAATGAACTTTTTTATACATATTTTATAGTTTTTTAGAAATGGGGTCTGATAGACCCCCACGCGACTATGAACGTTAAAAATAGGCACGCGCCTGCTAAAGGGTTAATAAAGAATTAATAATAATTCTTAATTAATAATAGTAGCGTCGGTGATCACTTCTTGCCTTTGAAAATACTATTTAACTTAATATAAAAAGCCCAAAATAATGAGCATTCGGGCTCAGATGTTACTCTGATGGTGGTCAGAATGTTTTCATTTGGTGGTCAGTCGCGCTCAGAGCGGTCAGTCATTCTAAAAGGTACAAGAAAGAAGTAATCCACCGCGTCTACATTATAATTACATAAGAAATAGGAACGTCTATTTATTTCAGAGCATTATTTATTGGAAATATCAAGGTAGGAAAATAATAATTTCACCAAAAATATATAAGGTTTAGAATTAAATTTTATGAGTACATAGATTACGTAGGCAAATCAAGTGATCATCAATATACCAAGTAAATTTAATGAATCGATAATGTTTGTACAGAGTTACTTAGCAGAGTTATATCGTTGATACGTGTCTATTTCAGGAGTATAGTAGGAGGTTCATATAAAGATACCATACTACTCTGAATAGGCACACCTTGTGACTCAATCCCTCCTATCATTGATAACCGTCAACACTCGTGGCATTATTGATCACAAAGAGTGTGACAATTGATTATAGTAAATTTATTATTAATAAATAAAGATCACCTTACTTTTCTATTATTTTTTATCTCTCTTACAAACCCTCGTACTCATATTCCGAGTAATGATATAATTAAAACTACAAAAGTAGTAACTGGCGACCTACACATTTTTTATTTATTTTTTCTTTCTTTTTGAGTTATTACAAGTAGCGTCACTACAATTAGTACACTATTCTCAATCACTATGATTTACTCATTTTTAGCCTTTTAACATGTATACAAGATGGACACAGGTCTAGCTAACAACTCCTATAATTTTTTATACAATCAACATTTTATTGTAATTATATTTGATCATTTTTGCATTCATAGACTGCGTTAAAACATATTTGAAATTATTTATTTATACAGTTAAAAAAAAAATATTATTTTTTTTACTATAAAAAAATAAAATAAATAGTATAACTAATAACTCTGGAAGTAATAAATTATCAAAAGTTATAAGAGTTGCCGGTTAGATCCATTCTTTATTTCTTAATTATTAACTTAATTCACAATTTATTAGTCAATCTGAGTGCTAATCTGGATTATATAAATTACCGTTTTGGTATAAAAGTTTGAAGTATCATTTTAAAATTTAAAAATTTTTTTTGGTTATCTTTGGTTACACATTTTTCTCTAATTATTAACTATTTTATACTTTTTAAGTTCAGAACTTTGTTCTGGATTCTTGTTAAACTTCAAACATATTTATATACAAAAATATACATATATGTGATAATATAATTTTTAAAGACTATATTATTAAGAAACCCTCCAATCACAGACCCAATCTAAATAGTAACTCACATTCAAAAATTAGGTTTAGAATCGTGTGATTCCTTAGGACCTATTTCTTTATTCTTTATTTTTGAGCTACAAAATTACGGCGGAATCATTTGCTGAGGTATTACGATTTTCAATACTGGAACTATCATACCTTGCTCTGTAATAGCATCTCTTGGTGATAACGCAATAGAGTATTTTTCGGTGGTGGTGTCGGTATATGTTTAGAGTCGATAATGTTTACATTGTTTCAAAATACACTTCCGCGATTTTTTAAAAATTTTATGACTTCTTGAGTTAAATATTTATATATTTTTTAATTATAAAAAAATGTCATAGAAGGCACAATGGGAATAATGAGGTTAACTGTCAACAGATAGTTTAGTAATTTTGACGACGTGCCTTTTGAGTTCGTCGTATGCTTTGTATGCAACTTACAAATATTTTTTTACATATTTTTAGGCACGACATAGTTATAATAAAGTAAAGATTGATTCACACTATACGGAACGTCAACGTCACGTTACAGATCGGCAGCGTCACGTCAAAAAAAAATTAACCAAATATTTACGTGATGTTGACGATATGTAACGTGGCCAGTGTATGTGAACAATACGATAGAAATACATGGTCAGATATTTTGACGTGACGTTGACGTTCTGTATAGTCTGAATGGAGCTTAAGGAAGACAATCAGCAAGAGAATTCTCTCCGTGTAACAGGTATTAGATCTGTGAGGGCTAAAAACAAGAGAGAATTATTTTCTGAAGGCATTAGTTTTACTATGATGAGTTTATTTTATTTTGTTTCTTGTGTTGTTTGTAATAGGGAAATTTATCATTTATGTTGTAATTGTAATACACTTTAGTTAAGAAAAAAAAATCATATGAAAACATGTTATTAAATTACAACTCCATTTGTACATTTTTATTTATTTATTAATCCAATATTTGTAATAATATTACAAAATAAGAAGTCATTGTTATTAAATAAAAACTGATTCAAACATAATTTTGATTTCAATAATGATCAATAAATTTGTCTTTATGACGAGGATTAAACTGTAGTAGTACTTTAGCGAAATTATCTGAACATTGATTAACTCTGTTATTACATTCTTCTACACTGAGTTTGTTCTCATTTTCACATACAGCACTTTTCAAATTTTTGACCATTTCATTAACTGTAGTTTGATAATCGATGTATTTTTTGCCGTCTTTACATAACTGAAGATGTGTATCTTTAGATTTAGTGTTAATTAAAAAATAATTTTAGGTATTATTTCTATGAAACATAATGAATAATTTATTTTTATTTATTTTCACACACATTTTTTTCAACTTATAGTACATAATATAATATATTTTATTTTATTTCAATGTATATTTAAAGCTTAGAGTATATCAGGAAAATTTTCAATGTAATATTGAAAAAGTGAACTTTTATTAAAAAGTGGCTATTTTTATCCGCTTTTTGAACATGTTAGGGGTTTACATTTTCAAAAAAATCATAAAAAATGAATAAAAAATAACTAAGGTCTTAACATAAAAAATATTATTTTTATTCAGCCAATTTTAAATGTTTATAGCATAAAAAAAAAGTTAAAAAAATGTATATATCCCCTCCTTGTGTTAAAAATTATCCTGAACTATTATTTCAAATACTATTTTGTAATTTAATCTTACCACGTATTGATATTGGACTGTCGTTAGGATCAATTTTTTTACAGCCATTCATGCAATCAAAAAATGCTTCACATGCAACTTCTAAATTATAACCACATTGTTTGTTTGAACAATCAACTGTAATCTTATAATTATATTTTATTAAATTAATAATAGATGTAAAAATTAATAAAAAGAGCAAAAATTTCGTGAAACTTTTATGAACTTAAAAATTTCATTATTTTAAGATCTCAATTAAAACTATCATACAACAATTTAATACAAATTTACATTAAAAATGTTCAACTTTTGTCACTAAGTTACCACATTACATTTGCAATATATGTCTAAAAATGTAGACAACCATAAGCTTTAATTTAGAAGACGCAGTATTTCCAAATTTATCAAAAATTGAATCGAATTTTTATTTTTTACGCTTTTGAAAACACCTTCTGCAACGAGGAAATTTATCTGATTACACCCAAGGTATACTCATGGATTATTTTTAGGTTTTTTTTTCAGTTGCTGAGCTAGTTTAGCTCATTATAAGCAAGTTATATTATATATTGAATTTTTATACACAAATAACGATAAATCAAACTTTCCATATTCAGTTTTATTAAAAAATTCCACATTGTACCCTAATTTCAATAATTCATAGATATGTAAAACTTCAAAATAATATAACGAAGAGATTCCTCCCTATACAATACTTTAAAAAGCTCAGGTTTCTATTTAAGAAGAGCTGTTGAAAGCATATATCACATTATCACAAATCAGTGAAATCGAGTGTTGTATCATTTCTTATGATAAATATTGTACAAATTACAATAACAGCATCAGAACTGATATTTGCACATTATATATAAAAAATCTCAACAAAAGATTTGTTATTTGAAAAAAATAAATTTTATCTTATGTTATACATTTCACGTCTATGTGATATTTATTTAGTAGTTACAGATGAAAAAATTCGGTAGCAAAGTGGAGTCGCGGCTCTGCATGGACGTGGCATAGTTGGGACAAGTATAGACAATATCTGTTAGTGATTAAAATCACTATCATGAGAAACGTTTCGATGTAAATCAGAGATAGTGTTTAATTTTAAGAAATTGGTGAATGATTGAAAAATCAACATCAACTCTTATTACCTTAATTATATCCTGATTAGTGGTTATATGATATAAAAGTATAATATATGAATAAATACTTATTATAGTAATTAAATTTAGTTTGAAATTGATATTCTAATTTATACGGAGAAATTATAAAAATAATAAAGAAGTTGTATATTTCTTTACTTTTAATGCGTAGAAAAATTTAAAAGACTTGATGCAATATTTTTCAATAAAATTTTTTTGTTACTTATGAATAAATACACTGGACTATAAGCAACTTTTAACAGAAACAAAAATGTAATTTTCTAGATCAACTTTTCGTGCCGTTTTTAAATCTGCAATTAGATTTTATCTATCACAAATTTTATAAGCGTACCAAAAATTGTATCGTTAAGATTAATGTGCAGTCAGGAAATTTTATAATTACTATTTGCAGTAAATTTATCAGAAAAGCTCAATATTTTTTTGTATTTTGATTGTAAAAGATTTATTAAGTAGAAATCATAATAGTCATTTATAAGATATTTTTGGTGTTTCAACAATTGAAATATATAGAACTGAAATTAATTTTAATGATTTACTAAAAACACCAAACAAAAAGTTGTTAAAAAAATGTACTCAAATAAATGCGTATTATAAAATTTTATTATAATATTAAAAATCCATTGTTAAATTCAGGTGAAACTAAAAATAATTTTTTTTTTTTAATTATTTATATAGCAACATGTTACCAAAAAATGTGAAATATTAATGACGGTAGTAACACACAAAAATAGAAATAATAAATACAAAGTAAAGTTAACACATTCATAAAATTATTAAAATTATTATTGAAAACTATTAACATATCAAACCTAATTTGAGAGTAAATACTTTTAAAATATAACTGAGAGCTGAGAAAATAAATGACAACCACAAAAGAAAACCACATAGTAAAATAATTTTAATATGAATATGAAATTTCTACAAACTAGAGGAGACTACAATATTGAGTCCTTGATATTCAATGAAATTATTGAATCTAAATGAAATAAAAATCAAATGAGTTGAAGATTTTTTCTAACTCAAAAAGATTTAAGAAAAAAATGCAAAAACTTAGTTGCCACGGGCGGGTTGGAACCTTGATGTATAAATATTGACCCCCCCCCTGTATGAAGGACAATGGTCCGATATGAAAAAAAAGTATGTCGGGTGAAAGGGGTATATAAAAAGTATTTATTTAAAAAAAAAAATAATATTGATCCATACGTTTTTCAAAAAGTTATAGCAATTTATGTTTAAAAATATAAAATCGAGAATTTATTCACGGAAATCGTACGTTTTTCTTTAACTTTGATGTTCGTTTTCACCATGAAGACCAGAGGTCAAATAAGCTTTAATTTAAGGTGTATATAAAAGTGTCAGTATTTCCGAAACATTTTTAAAATTGAAGTTGAAAAAATTTCACTTTCTTAACGCATATTTAAAGGTTTTAACTCCCCCTATATAAATGAAAATGTTCCTATTTAAGAAAAAAATGATGTAAAATGAAAGAAGTATAAATATATTGTTGTCATACCGTTCATCGCTCTAATATTATTCGTATTGTGTATCACAAAATAAAACAGTTGTCTTAAATTGATATCATAGCATAATCACTGATGTAATTAATACAATATATGTACTTGTTCAGTTTAAGACTAATATTTGTACCATAAACGTAAACACTGTAAATTAACCTACAAAGATAATGTATTAAGTAACAGTATCCCTAAGAAAAATCAAATGTACTATAACCAATGTAACATATTATCCTTGCTTATAATTTTCATTTCAATAAAGACAATAGTCCCTGCTGGTCAATTCTTACATTTTGATGACATACATAGATCATAGATTTTATATAAAAAGCCGTAAAAAGCTCTACTCAATACTCTTTCATTCCACCTTTCAAGTCAAGACTCAGATGTAGCAATTGACCACCAGTCCCAAAATATTCTTAAAGAAAACTTGTCAGTCTTTTTCACTTCAACTCCGATGAAAACGTCATAAAGTAGGTGATACTTTGTCATCCCGATTAATTATTTAATCCGAGAGGAGGATGTCAAAAAAATAATAATTAACATATCTTTTCTCATTAAAATTTATTAACTGGTTTGTCAGGAGAAGTATTAAATGTGTTCGAAATGCTTGACCTAAGACCGTACCTACGCACTTTTTTACTACTTTTCATAGTTTGCCGACCTTAGCGCGTGCTCTTGAAACATAAGACTATTCAAATGATTTACCAATATTTACAAGTTTAATTCATGTATTAAAATTCAATACTCAGCATATCCCTTTTATCTTATTGTATTATCATCCTCTAAACCCTCAGACTCCACAACCCCAATAAAATTAAACAAAATGAATTAAAACGAAATTAAGATAATTAAATTTATTCAAATGCTCAAAAATCCAAATTAATTAATCAACATAAACACACCCAATTTTAATTTACTCTTTTATTCCATTATTAAAATCTTACTTTTGGCTCACTATAATATAAATCATCATAAAAAAATTATATTGATTCATACATTTTTTAAAAAATTATAGCAACATAGAGTTAAAAAATGTAAATTTTTTTTTTTCAATTAAAAACATATTATGTAAGCTTTACTTTAAGATATATATAAGTATGTATAAATGTGTCAGTATTTTTGGAACATTTTCAAAAGTTAAATTGAAAAACTTTATATTTGTGAAAAAGTTGCCTTTTTGAAACTCCCACTGTGGGCAGACAAAGGATCAAATGATCACAAAATTATATTAAATAATAGGTAGATATCTGTGGTATCTATAAGAAAAAAGTATTGATTTGTTCATTTTTAAAAAACTTATGGTAGTTTTAAGAAAAAAAAAAATTAAAAAAATGTCGAAAATAACCGATTTTTAAAATTGTTATTTTTTAGGGGATTTTCCCAATTTACGGAGAACGAGAGAAATTTTTATTAATTTTTGAGGGAAATGACATCAACTAAATAAAATTTGTGATCTTTTGACGTATTGTTCATAAAAATCGATCCAGCGAGAGCTGAAATTGAACGTTCACAGACACACAAAAAAAAAATAATAAATATATTATAGTAAAATTAATACCTTCTCAACTTCGTGTCGAAGCTAAAAGGAAAAAATATAGCAAAGACCATGATACCCCATACTGGATTAAGTACTTAAAACTTACTACAATAATTATATGGGCGACTAAAGAAAAACAACAAAATTTGAAAAATAAACTTAATTTATAATTAACCTAAAAATAGAAGTCGTAACATAGCTTCTGAATGACTGAATATTTAATATTTTATCGCATGAAAATCATTTGGATAAGTAAAAAATTTGAAATATTTTAATACTTACAAAAATTAATAATAACAAACAAAACTTCATTTTTTTTTATACTAAAATAATGTGAATGTTATAGTTTTTTCTTCGGACTTATTTTAATGTACCAATCAAACTAAAAGCATTATTTATATTCAATGCGCAAATTTATCTGTATTTGTCATTCAAAATTAATGTTTTTTTAGAGGATGTAGAACTCAATCTGTATAAACATCAATTTATTATTCAAATTGTATTTTATTGTACAAATATATATAAATAAAAAAAAACAGCACGGGGGGGGTTGTGGCACAGTGGTAACGTACATAGTTGGATCAAGTATAATATCTGACACTCATTAATATCATTGTCATAAAAAACGCTTCGATGCAAATCTTTAGATGGTGTTTAATTTTAAAAAATTGGTGGATTATTCCAAAAGCTACATGATCTGCTATTTCCTTATTTATATTCTGATTAAGATAAAGTATGTCGAATGAAAAAGGAATATAAATATGATTTCGCATAAAAAAATTGTGTTGATCCATACACTTTTCAATAAGTTATATAATTATAAAGTTAAAAATGTGAAAAATAAAATCGAGAAATTTCACACAAAAATAGCATTTGGTAGCCATTTTCACCGTGAAGACAAATAAAAGTCCAAAATTTTTTTTCCATAATAAAGTATATTACATTATCTTTAATTTAATAAATATGTATATTAGGGTGGCCCTCAAAAATCGAATGTCTTTTTTTTTTTTACGCTACCCCTTAATTTTTTTTTAATGGTCAAAAAAATGAGCTGTGCAAAATTTGGGACCGATCCGTTAAGGTTAACCCGTGCCCCTGGGCCTATTAAGTTGAGTCGAAGAGTCAAATTTAATAGAAATAACTGATCTATGTCTCATAACTTTTTTTTCTCTTAACTTAGAATAATAAAAGTAAAACTCAAGTAAAGGAAATTTTACAAGAAATTCAAAAATAATAACTTCAATGTTGTTTTTTCAATAAATAGCCCACAAAAACACTACATACAGTAAAAAAACATGTAAAAGTCTTAAAATACGTTATAACTGATTTTGTTGATTTTTAATTATTTATTTTCATTTTATTTTTTAGAAAACTTCGTATAGAAAAATTCGTTTAAAAAAAGATTCTAAAAGTTTAATTTTTTATGCCAAGTACGATAATTATATTAGATTTATTATTTTATTAATTTTTGAGGGTAATGACTTCGATTAGATACGATTTGTGATCTTGTGACGTATTGTTGAAAGAAATCGGTTCGGTGAGAGCTGAGAAAAAGTGGTAACGCACAAAAAATAAAAAATAAAACACATCATAGTAAAACTAATACCTTTTCAGCTTTGCATCGAAGCTAAAAAACAAATAGACTGTTATATTATTTTATGTTCAAAACTATATTTTAAGGAGAGTTCTAATTTTGGTTTCAATTTCACAGGAACAATCTTTAGATCACCTTTGTGAAGACGGGTGAATTAAAAATATTTTTATCATCTAGTTTGTAAATTATTACCGCATACAATGTTTTCAACTTAGGAGTGTTTCAGTTCCAAAAACATACAAAAACTCTCTTGCTACTCTTCAAACAATGTACCCAATCTTAACACAGCTGTGTAGAATTATAAATAAATTATATTGATAGTGATAATATGACTCATAATATATGTATAATATAATAAATCTAATAATATTAAATGAGATAAACACTTTTAACAATTGTTATTAAGACAGTACTCACTTGTATCAATTATTGATTTATAACCTTAAAACGTTGACAAGCAAAATAAAAATAAATTATAGCTAAGTTAAACAATAGAATCTAATACTATTTTTTTTAAATCAATTTAAAAACAACGTTCTTTTCTCTTTAAATTTTTAAAATGGTCTGAATATGTACCTTACTTAAACGTATATCAAATTAAAGAACACAATGTACTTTAATATGAAAAAGAAAAACTATTTAATATTTCTAGGCATTTTCGGGTTTTAAAGTCAAAAATAATATAATTTTCGGTAAAAATAGCAAAATTTGAAAATTTATTTTTGTCAACGGAGTAAGATATCGTTGATAAACTTTGTATTTTATAAGATTTTAAAGTAGTAATACCTAAGAGCATTCAATTTTCTACACAAAGGTCATCCCGGTATAGTACGCACGAAAATATTGGCTAAGTCATATGTGTGATGGGACACATTATGTAATAATATAGAACGTTTTAGTAAAAAGTTTAAATAAATTAAGTTAAATAAATCAAAACGATAAAGCTAAAAGTGATAAGTTATATATTAATTGGCCAAGGTCGTATATATCTTGGGAAAGAGTACATATTAATTCTTTTGAAACAGTAAATGGATTGTATAAATTATCAATTGTGATACACTGTCAATATCGATTGATTATACTACACCAGAATTGATGTTTAGTTATTAACCTAAAACTCGTCTATCTATACTTAGGCCATGAGATATCCTCTAATTTCTCACTTGGATACTACTCTTTCAGTAATTTTTCATTAACCCTTTCCGCCATTTTTTACATCATCATTGCTTATTAACACCCTTATATTATCACTTTTTCTACACCTTATATCATAATGATCTTTAAATTGTTTTTTTCTTACTTTTGCAAGTCTATAGAATTTTTTTTTTTTATCATAAATTTTACTATGATTTTATTTTTATATTTTGTAAACATTATATTTAAATTTATTATCAGAGATGTTATCAATACTTCTTTATTTGTATTTTAATTATTAAACACACTCATGTATAAATAATATTAAAAGGAAGTTGTGATTCAAATTTTACACTCTTCTATACGAACGATTACGACTGAATGGGAACACGCTTGAATATGAATGGTTTAATGTGTGAATATTTGAATTTTGTAAAATTAAACAATACGTAAATAAAATTTAATCATTTATAAATCCAATTTTACTGCTTCTATCCATTTATCCATTCTATATGTATTATGAATTACAAGTTTTTTTAAATGCTCTAACTGAATAGTTTTTAACAATAAGGATTCTTGCAAATGCTGACATGAAGATTGAGTTAAATTATTCTTAAAAAAATCTGTTACACTGTCTAAATGTTGTTGCATAGATTCACCAATGACCATATAATCCCCATTACCATTGTCAAGGGCTCTAATGCACTTTTCTTTAATTTTTAAAAATTCTTCATCAAGTAATTTATACTTTTCATCGATTGCTTTTTTAACCTCTCGACAACTTTCTTCAAGCTTAAAGAAATAAAGTTGGTTTTCTAAAATCTTGAAAAATTACATCTTAATTAATTTTTAGAAATATTTATTCAAAATAAATTTTGAACTACTACTGTACTATGAATAACTTTTCATCTCTTCTTTTTTTATATCCTTTGTATACTTTATTTACCTTACATTCCTTTTTATAGTACATTTATAATATTGTATTTTTATTATATTAATTGTATTTCTATTGTTTTTTTCAAAAATATATCTTAGTTTAGGAAGTATATGTTTTTAATAAATACATTTTTAACGAATAAATAAATGTTTTTCTGAATTAAAAGTTTATTATTAATTTAAATTGTTATTCCCATTTTTAAGATACAATCTCAATTTATCGAGTTATTAAGTTGACAGTTTATTGTAAAATAATATAAAAATAAAAAAACTAACCTCAAGTTTACATTTCAATTCGTCTTTTTCTATTTTTAAATCATTTGATAATTTTTCAATTGAACTCCCAAATATAGCCTCTTTGATCATTTTCCGAGGAAACATTATTTCTGATTTGGTTTTTATTTTATGTTTATTCATATTCTGCTGCATATAAACCAACTTTTGTCGTCTATAACTGTTAGATAACTCATAAGGTTTACAAACAAATTCATTACTTGTTGATTGATGATCAGACACGCCAATAGTAAAATCTTTTGTGGCCGCAAAAGTAGTCATTATATTAGTTTACCATACAGTTTATTTGATTTTAAATTACGGATATATGAAAATAAGACAACAAAGTTAACTACGATTTTCATCAAAGAAAAACAAATGAAAAATGTATATGTAAAAAAGGTTTTTTATAAGATTTTAACAAAAAAAAAAAACACATAACTCAGAAAAATATTTTTAAGCCAATAATTTTAAATTAATGTATATAAATTTTTTTTTAATGCCTTATAAGCCCATCAAAGGCTGTGACACAGTATAAAGGTGTTTTTAATAAAATAAAAATGTAACACCGTTAAGTAGTCGATTAACTTTATTTTGAATTATAATAATATTATAAAAATTGGTGACAGTGAGGTGCGAAATACAAAAAGAAATCGTTAATGCGCTGATGAAAAATCACACGGCACGTACGGCGGATGTAAATCACAGGTGAACTAGTTTACATAGTCGCCGACGTGTCTCGCGGTGCTGAACCCCCTGACCTGCCCTATCTACGGATAAGACAAACTTGTGTTATCGTCAACACTAATGAGTGCGACGGTGGACAGCTGATAATCACGACCGGATAACGTGCTAATTCACGGTAAATGAATAGTGCGCTATTACGGGCCGTGTCAGCTGTAGCAGCCTCCTCCAAAGAAGGAGGTTTCTTAACCATTGATACTCCTGAACGAGTGGCTAGTCTATCGCTGGAGAGAGGAATGGCAACTCAAATTATCAAACTGATTTCTCGCTCAGCAAATGAAGATTCCCGTGACCGAGTTTTGAACCTGAAGCAGTGCACGTTAAGCACTGCCGCGTTACCGACTCGATTACACCGTCCCTAATTAATTAATTAATATTTATAAATATTTAATGAACACAACTGTTATAATAACGAGTGTCTAGGTTGACAAAATTATGATTACATTTTTGAGGCAAAGAAGTTTCAATCAATTTTTGTTAAAATAATTTAGACTTGGAAATAAATTATATATTAAAATAATGTTTTGAAGCAATGTTATTGCGTTTACAAAATCTACATTTATATTAGTCCTAATATAAAATCAGAATATTTCAAACAATTTTTAAAAATTATTAAAATTGTCTAACATCACATCCACACTACCTCTCCACACTAAAATTTGGTTATTATATTGATATAGATTATTTTTTTATATATTTACCTGAGCATAGCAGAAATCAGAATTAAA